AATGTTTTACTGTATTTTCCCTTTTTCGTTTAATAAATTGGGTAATACGAGTGTAATGGTGACTAAAGGGTGTTTTTTCATGTCCTCTATGCTCTAACTATGAAAATATTTTATTTACAAATAAGGAATCCTACTTCGCGGAATTTCATTTATCACAGTAGGGTCTAGAACCGATTAACCGCGATAATCGAGGGTTCACTGTATATATTAATATATTTACATAGATAATGCCTATAGCTATACCTCTATAAATGCTTTTATACTTCCTCCCCTCCTTTCCTCTATTTCCTTTCGCCTTCCTCCTGTCCCACTATCATGATCACCTTCCACTTGGCTCTCAGTAATTCCTCTTGGATACATGTTCTTGATCAAATCCCACCAGACCTCCTCGCCATTGATTTTAGACCTCTTGTACCCTTATTCCTGAGTTTGTCGGCTTCCTGCTTTCCCTCCCTGCCCCCGTCCTCTCCCATGTCCCCCCGGGACCACTGGTCCCGTTGTTTTCTTCTTGGGATTGTTTGTCCTGCCTATCTTACACAGACAGACATAGGGGGAAAGGGAAAACAAAAACAAAAAGCATAGATCATTCTCGGTCTGTCTGCTGACTGTTATGAGTGTTTTCCAATCGGGTCTATTGAGATGCTAAGCCTTGTCGGAGTCAGTCTATTTTCAGGATCCCTCGGTTACTTTGCTCCCCTTGCACTCCCTTCGCGTTTCACCCCGCTGCGCGTGGGGCGCACTAGGCTCAATTTCCACACAGTGTCTCCAGACAATACTTCTTTTGGCTTGGCCAAGCAAGTGAGGCCAACTTCAATTTCCAGATGTTTTACATTCTGCCATGCCCCCTACAGCTGGCTTGCCTCTGCCTACCCTCTGCTTCTTGGGACTTGAACTGTGACCTATTGTGTTACCTCACTAGCTTCTGAAGCCTTATGGACTGGAAGGAACCTCCAAACAAATGTCTGAACATCAGGTTGGGAGTTACCAGCCCCCATAGCCGCACTTCCTGAACTGTCTATGAGTTCTCAGCGACTACCGTGGAGAAGTGGTGGTTGGCATCAGGGATAAAAGCATTAGGTGGTATAGCATTTTGGGAATCAGCCATTTGGGACATCTTTAATCTCCACCTCATTGGGACTAGTCTTGAGCTAATCTTTCTAAAAGAAATTGTTTTTGCAATGGTATACAAAATACCTTAAAATCTGATCCTTCAGCCTACTTCTTTTTTTCCCGTTGCTAAATATCCCACATCCCCTCATCGTTCCTTTCTTCCAAACATATGAAGCAGGCACTACTTTAGGTGTGTGGCGGGCCTGAGTGAATAAAACAAAGGTCCTTTCTTTGTGGAACTTATATCCTTATCCGACCACACACAGGTCCTGTAGATACCCTTTGGTGGTAATGTGCTTTCTGTGTCCAAGAGACCACCAAGGATGCCAGGGTGGCTGCAGAGCAACAAGTGAGAGCAAAGTGGGGAAAGTTCAGATCCTAGGGGTAAAGGAAGTCAGAACATGTGTCCCGTAGGCCACTGGAAAGCTCTGATTTTTACTCTTCAGTGAAATTAGGAACGACTAGAACATTTAAGCACAAGTATGTCATGAGCTAGCAAGTGCTTTAGAGGACCACTCTGGATGCTGTGCTGAGAACAGACAACACAGATGCACAGAAGCTGCATCATCCGCTCACGCTCTGTTTAACAGCACTTGCTGCACTGGACACCGCACCGAGGCACTTCCCAGTCTCTTCCTTTAGAATCTAAAGATGAAGACTCTGAAACTTTTTTTTTTTTTTCTTACAGGGGAGAGCGCAAACGCAGTCCCCCACTACCACAAATTATGCAGTCGAGTTTCCCACATTTGGGGACATCGCAGGGGTCAGCACATCCGGAGTGCAAAGGATAAGCCTCGCCCTGGGAAAACCACCTTCGTGATCATGGTATCTCCTCTGCCAGGTAAGTATCGACTCTGAAACTCTTGAGGGAGTGTCTTAATGTTTCCTGTAGTTCGCTAGCACGGTACTTGGGAGAGATGCTCCTCAAACCTTTCCAGTGGGCCAACAGAGGGGATACACATGAACTTGGTCCCATGAAGGGTTTGAACTATACTTTGAGCTGCACCCTGAAACCAAAGGAGAGTCAAAAGTAGCATCCATGTTAGGGCTGGAAGCCACAATTCCGCCCATGGTGAAGGTCCTATATGAACAATGGAACAGAGAGAGTAATCAAGTAAGAGGAATCCAGGAAGAGAAGATGTGGGCAAGGTGGCTTGGGAAGTGATAACCCCCCAGTGACAAGAGAAATGCTCACAGGATGTGTAACCATAAAGAGAGGAACATTTTAGAATAGAGCCATGACCCCCCCAAAAACAGCAGAATTCCCACTTCTTATCTCTGAGTCTGGGATTCCAATTGATAAAGATTAATAATCATTGAAGCGTCTTATTATAAAACACATTGTGAATCTCACTCTGTCGATGGGGCTTTCTTCTCAACCTCACAGTTATGCTCATGATAAATACAAGGATCTACATGTGACCTCCTCCCTGGGGGACGGACAACAGAAAAGTGGGTTAAAGGGAGACGTCAGGCAGGGCAAGATATGACAAAATAACAATTTATAAATTATCAAGGGTTCATGAGGGAGGGGGGAGCGGGAGGGAGGGGGAAAATGAGGAGCTGATGCCACAGGCTTAGGTGGAGAGCAAATATTTTGAGAATGATGAGGGCAATGAATGTACAAATGTGCTTTGCACAATTGATGTATGTATGGCTTGTGATAAGAGTTGTATAAGCCCCTAATAAAACAATTAAAAATGAGTAATAATTCTAAAGTAGGGATTGCGGTGGGCTGGCAAGAGAGGGTCTAATGTCCACCACTTTTCTGACATTTTAACTTCTCGTGGTGGCTTGCATATTGCTATGATGCTGGAAGCTCTACCACTAATATTTCAAACTGCAGTAGGGTTACCTATGGTGGTCAGGTTTCAGCAGAGCATCCAGAATGAGACACTAGGAAGAAGGGTTATTATTATTAGCCAATGAGAATGCACCATGAATCATAGTCTGATATGGTTCTGGAAGATGGGTTCCAGGCATCAATCAAAGCCTTCTGACAGCTGCCCAAAAAGGCAGGAGCAGAGTTCATCTTTTTCTTTCTTTCCCAAGTATATTTCTTTTTTCCCTGTACAAATGGCTCTTGATGCAATAAAATCTGTTTCCCCCTTTTCTCACTTTTAGAAAGAAAAGCAGAGCCAGGAAGTCAGGCAGATGACCACTCAGGAGGAAGTGGTGGTGGGGGTGTATCATGTAGGCCTGCTGTTAGTGGACAGATTGACTACAGGTGATGCCATGAGATTCTCAGGACTTACCCACTTGTGTGAACTGTGTGCATTACATAAATCTCACTTAGCCTGTGTCTTCTTCTGCAACACGAGACAAAAAGGATTCCATTTGAAAATTAAATAAGATAATGCCTACAAAAAGTATTTTGGGAGGGTGGTGGAGGAAGAAAAAAAATGAAGAGCTGATACCAAGGGCTCAAGTAGAAAGAAAATGTTTTGAAAAGGATGATGACAACATATCTACAAATGTGCGTGCCACATGGATATATGGATTGTTATAAGAGCTGTAAAAGCCCCCAAATAAAATGATTAAACAAAGAAAGGTATTTTGCAAAAGAGAAAGTGGAGTTTGCATGTTATAATTAAGATCACCACCAGCAATTTACAAGTATCCCAACTGGTGTCTTAGGATCAACAACAACAAAACTTGCATGTAATTTTCTTTAAAAATGTGTAGATCGGAAAGCAGAAAAAAAGGGGAAAAAACTATTTTAATCTCAAAGTTGAAGAAAAAAAATCCCTCAAATTACAAGTGAAATAATCATAGGGTAAGCTTCCTGTTGCTAAGTGAATAGAAGAGAGTTAAGCTGCCCACATCCAGGTAAGGATTGCAGAAAGTTAAATTACTGACAGCATTCTTAATAACTAGCATCATAAAACAAAAAGGCATGCTATAAACAAGATATATCAAATAGATTTTGTTTCTTTACTGAAAACTTTACCTGAGAAATAGACATCACTGAGGTTGAAAGACAAAGTTTACACTGGCAAGCAAGATTTCTAAAACTAACATCATATAAAGCGGCACATTAAAAAAAGAGCTTCTGGGTTTTTTTTAATGATGAATTCTCAATAGCAAACAACCTTCTGAAATGTGAAAAGCACTGTTATTTACTGAATTATAATGTCTAATATCGGTGGGGGGGGGGAAGAGTGGTAAAATTATGCAGTCATCTCTAGATCACAACAAACCCAAGCACCAGAAAATTCAAATCTGCTACAGTTCTATCTGGAAACACGCACATTAGTTAGTTACATTACATACGAAAGTCACCAACTAAAACGGTATTCATCTCATTTAGCGCCTTACCCGACCGATAGCGTTCATCCCGTGACCCTGAGGACCTTCGGCGGTGATAGCGAGAGGAAGAAGAGGGAGTGACCGGGGTGCGGCGCTCTTGAGGCAAAGCTTGATCCACTCCTGAATTTAAAGACAGAAAGGCAACGGGAGGGTGAGAATGTACTCCGTAACCAGAGTTCATGTATATTGTGCAACGGATCAGTTTGGGAAATGAAGCCTTGACCCACTCCGTTCCCACTGCAAAGTTGGAGTAACTTGTGGGAATGGATGTGGGGGCACAAGGGGATGGCAGCCGACAGAAGAGGATGAAAGGAAGGGAGAAACATTCCAGGCTGGATGAGAAGGAAAGCGAGGTGTAGACTTCTACTGCATGTGAGGTTGTGCATGTTCCCAACATTGGAGTCTTCAGAAATACCAAGATATACTCCTTCACAATGTACACGTTACAAGTGGACATTCCCCATCATGGGAACAAGCACAAGTTAAGCCACAACTAAATCCTTTGAAGTTTATACTAATGGAGCTTAAAACGTATAATCAAGTTATAATCTTGTTATAAGAATACACAAAGTTAAAAAATTTGAGAAAATTTAAAATTACATTTATTATTTGTGGGTCTACAGTTAACTTTCAAATAAATCCTATAGTATACTTTAATGATATAATGTAGGTATACAGGATTTCACAAATACTACTTTAACCTTTTATGCTTAATCTAAATTTACCAACTCTTTGGAAGCTCATTCCATTTGATGCTCGTTTAACAAGTTTTGTTCAAACACAGCTCTGATGAATATGAACATAGATAAAATTGTTTAACTGGTCAAAAAGTTGACCCCATATCCCAACCTCAATAATTATTATATTTTTAAATTAGAATATCAAGAAACACCAGTCAAATATTATGGAAAATATTTAATCACTGTAGTTCAAGACTGAAGAAATTATGCAATGTTGAGTATTAATCATTAATTGTTGTTTCTTTTGGAAAAGTTCAATAATACATG